TAAATATGTGCTTATTGCCATTTTGTTCATTGTTTTCTGGCTGTTTTTGTACTTCCTCTCTGTTTGATGCTTCTTTCCCTGTTTTCTTTATATTCTGATGACTTTCTTTGATGGTATGCTTATCTTTATCTTTTGTGTATTTATTATAGTTTTTGCTTTGTGTTTACCATGGGGCTTACATAGAACAACTTATAACAGTCTGTTTTAAGTTGATAACAATTTGAGTTTGATCCCATCATAAAGCTCAACATTATAATTACTCCTTGACATTCTATGTTTTTGATGTCACATTCTACATCTTTTTATCTTGTGTATTCCTTTTATTTTTTTTTAAAGATTTTTATTTATTTATTTATTGAGAGAGAGAGAGCGCACAAGCAGGGGGAGAGGGAGAGGCAGGCTCCCCGCTGAGCAGGGAGCCCGACATGGGGCTCAATCCCAGGACCCTGGGATCATGACCTGAGCTAAAGGCAGCCGCTTAATGACAGAGCCATCCAGGCGCCCCTGTCTTGTGTATTCCTTAATTCATTATTGTAAACATAATTATTTTTACTACTTTTGTCTTTTTAACTTCAGACTAGCTTTATAAATGATTATACAGTAGATGAAACAACCACCTCTCTCAGTCTTGAAGGATTGGCATCATGCAGGAGATGAGCCTTTATTGTTCAGCCCTGCCTCAGCTCTTGGTTGTCTCTTAAACCTTTGTGCTTGTCCGAGCAGCTTATTATATTTTTAATAGTTCTCAATAGTTGAGGATGTGCTACCAACCTGTCAGTATTTCAGAAGGAAGGCTCTCAGCACTTAGATTCATGCTGATTGGAAGCCAGACCCTCAGGCATCAGTTTTTAAAAATATGCAAACATATATAGTCCTGTGGGACTGCAAGCAAGTGTAAGCCCTGCAGGCCACCAGAGGCAGGCCATCTGAAAGTGTACCTTGAGTGGCAGTCACAAAAATCAGGATTCCAAATGAGTGTATAAGCTCTTTTCTGGGTGATATTGGCAAGCTAGAGCAAGGCAGAAGGAGGGAGAGCACCATGGTAGCATCCATAGCCTGTGTTCCCTGAGAGCAGGTCCATAAGCCACAAAATGTGTCCCAAATCTGAAGCCTGCCCCTTAGACCAGAGCTCCAGGACAAGCAAAGAGGCCTCCTTCACAGAAAGATTGGGGGTTATACTTCAATCCACTGTTTGCACAGTGCCCCAGGGGTGGGTAGTCTGCCAAGAACCATCTCTCCAATTGCCATAGTGCTATGGGATCCAGGAATGCAAGCCATCTTGGCCACCAAAGCCAGGTGATCAAGGGGTGTCTTTGGGTAGTAGTGGCAAAAATCAGGACACCAGACACATGTAAAGTTCCCCTCCTGAAGACACTGGTGCTCTGGAGTATGGCAGAGGGTGAGCTCAAAGATGACTTGAGGAAGGGATTACATTCTGCCTTTAGGTGCATGTTTAAGTAGAAGCCTTCCCCTTAGGCCACAGTCATGATGATTAACCAATAGGCCTCTTTCACACACAGTCTGAGCTCCTGTGTCTGTTGTCTTTTGCTGTGCCCTTGGGGATGGTTAGCTATTTAAGAACTTTTCCTCTGTTATAGCCCTGTGGGATCCATGGGCACTGTCCACCAGAGCCAGTATAGCTGTGTTCCCTGGCAGCAGCTGCAAAAATTGGGGCACCAAATGGAGATATGAGCTCCTTTCTGGGTGATACTGATTATTACAGTCTCATGGGACCAGGAACACAAGCTCCCTTGGCCTCCAGAGCCATGTGATCAAGAGGTGTCCCCCTAGGTGGCAGCTGCAAAAATCAGGGCACCAGATGCCTGTAAAAGCACCCTTCTGGGAGATACTGGTGTTCTGGAACATGTCAAAAGGAGCATGGAAAGATGGCACCTGCCAGTCTGTGTGCCCAGAGAGTATTCCAGCAGGCTCCTAGGTGTGTGTGTTAAATTAGATGTCTGCCCTTCAGGCCAGTGCTTTAATAGAAGCAGGTGAGTCTCCTTCACTTTAAGTCTGGATGGAACTGGCTACCTCTGAGCTGGGCCCTGAGGTGGGTGAGTGCAGGCACAGGAACCCTTTAAGAGTGGTTTCTCAGATCACTAGTTTTGTGAGTCTCAGGATGTGAACCTTGTTGGCTTTCAAAGTTAGATGTTTTGGGGGCTTGTCTCTCAAGTATATATCTTAAAAGTTGGAATGCTCAGTCCTCAGGGAAAAATTCTGGGTTTTGAGGTTCCTCCCAGTTGTTGGTTGTCATGCTGGGGATGGGATTTATGACCAGGTTGTGTCTTAGCCTCTCCTACCCACTCCAGTGTGGTTTTTTTCCTCATTTGCCTGATGTGTAGCCATCACTCAGCCAGGCTTTTTTGTTTTTTATTTTTAAGAGGAAATTGTTCCCTATGTAGCTGTACACTCAGTGTGTCCATGGGAGGAAGTGAGTTCAGGATCTTCCTGTATTGCCACCTTGAGCCAGAGATCAATGATTAGTTTCTTTCATAATATTGCAGTGTTTTGTGTAAACAGAAACAAAAATGAAATATGTTTTTTCCCTTTTCTACTCAAAAGTTTGCTTTTTGAATATTCTTTTCTGCATCATATTGTTTTAACATAGTTTTTTTTAGAACCCCTTAAATATAATTCATTGCATCAGTGTTCTTTTGGTACTCATCTGTATTCATTACTTCACTTATAACATGAATTTTTGTCATACATACATATGTGTGTAGGGGAATATTAATGTGTATGTCCTCTCTCCTAGATTATAAGCATCTGGTGGGCAGGGATTTTGTTACTCATCTCTAGTCTTGAAGACTTAGCCAGATACTTGGCACATACTAGACACTTGGTAAATTTGAAGGAGGTGACATGTGCTAGGGCAGGGAAGAACCCATTTGGGAAGAGGGACTGATGACATCTCAGAGGAAGAGCTGAGTACTCATGTAAGTGAGCTTAAGTAATAGCCTGGTCCCAACTCAGAGCAGTCCCACTGGGAGGAGGTAGCTTGGCTACATTAGATACAAAACTGGTTTCCTTTTGACATTGACTATATTTTAGTGATTTGGCTTTGGAATAATAACTAGACTCTCAAACATGATTTCCATGGATGTGCATTAACATTCAGTTTAACTGGTTTTCCTTATTGTTCTTACTTTGAAGTAAGTAGTACTGTTTTTTTTTCCTCCTTCAATACTAGAAAGCTCTTAAAAAGGAATTTACAAAATTGTTTCTTAAATTAGAAATAACACAGAAGGGATTTTTTCCTAATTCTTAGTGGGCTTGATTTAGATAGTATCCCACAACTGTCAAAGGAAATGTCAGACATAGCTGATTGTCATATTAAAATCTGGGCCTGGGGGCAGCGGGTGGTTCATTTGGTTAAGCGTCTGCCTCTTGATTTTGGCTAAGGTCATGATCTCAGGGATATGAGATTGAAACTCACGTCGGGCTCCATGCTCAGTGCGGAGTCTGCTTAAGATTTTCTCTCTCCCTCTGCCCCCCCGCCGACTCTCTCACCAAATAAATAAATAAATTAGTAAAATAAAATAAAATAAAATAAAAATTGGGGCCTAACTGAATAAGTAGCTGTAGAGGTGATCCTTTCAAAGGTGCCTAAACCACATTGACACAGACATCCACACAGGATATGCCGTGGTAGACTAAAAACAGTAAACTGTGGGCAGTAAAATATTTGCAAGAGTTTGTGGTTGATGGTGTTTTAGGGATGGAGGCTAGGTTCAAGTGAGCCTCAGTGGGGAGATACCTAAGGAGGCTGGTTACTAGACATCCCTGCTTTGCTTATGTTGCCAGAAGAAGTTTGTTCTTTTTCAGTTGGTCTAAGTTTCATGACCAGTGGGGTATTTCAAAGTAGATTTTCCAAGTGTCCTTATGGTTCATTGCCTTATTTTGTGCCATGGGGCCTCTCTTTTTTTTGTTTGTTTTTGAGGATGATGTTTCTTGGTTCTGTCAAGTCAGCATCTGTTAAATCAGATATCCATTTGTTGCTGTTTTTCCTGTTCAGTCTCTTAGTCAGCAAACACTTGTCTTCATTACTCAATCTGATCAATATTTCAATTGCAAATGTTCTTTTAGTAAAGATGTTATTACAAGATTTATAAGAGCAAGAAGAGGTCTGGACTGCTCTGTACAATAAATGATGGCAGTTATCAAGACAAGTGAAGAAATGTAGAATGGGCAATAGCCTTTACTAGGGCAATCAAAACAGAAGAGAGAAATGATTTGTATACCAAATTTTCTAAGTTAGGATTTTTGGACCAATAAGTCACATATACTTTTACAGCCTTGTCTATTTTTTTACAAAGTTCAGGGCAAATGGAGACATTACATGGTTACTAATACATTGGACAATAATTTTTTTTTTAATAGACTTTAGTTGAATATTTTACCCCAGAGAACCACTGGTGTGGTTTAGGGACAGATGTATAGATGGAGGTTTGCTGAACCAGGACAAAAAATCATTTCTCGATTTACACAGCTATCCAAAGGGCTAGGAAAAACCTCCACAACTTCTTGTGATCAGTAAGTTGCCAGCTGGTTGATCAGTGCTGTGCCTCACTGTATCTACTGTATTATTTGTATTTGTATTAATGGATGTTTTCTGGAAATCAGATCCTAATGTGGAAAAGGGCAGAGTCCCTAACACACAGGCTCTGTGTTCAAGTTCTGTCACCACATTATTACATACCTGATGGTCATTCAAGCCTGGGAAGCTTACAGGGAAAGAAACTGCTTGATGGGCTTTATGGAGTGGGGACAGAGGGAGTGAGAGAGGGAACAGTAATATGGCATGAATAGCAAGGTTGACGTTAAAAGTGGGACATGAAGGAAGGTATTTAGAGTGTAGTCACGAATGACGATAGAAACAATGGTTTGTGTCTCCAGAAATATTTAGGTATTTGTTTCTCCTTCTGAGGAGTTTACACTGTGTTGCCTCTACGATGTTCTTTTTGGTATGTTCATTAGCACTTTTTTCTTTAATCTTAAAGGCTCGTGAAGAAGAAATGACTGCTAAAGTAATGGACCTGCAGACTCAACTGGAGGAGCTACGGAATAAGTACCAGGAAAGGCTGCAGCAGGAGGAGAGCCCTGGCAATGACAAAGTGAGAGGAACTAGACTCTTAAATCTTACCACTCTCTTAAGACTAAAATACTAAATTTTTATTTTCTTGTGAGTTCATATTCCATTTTATTGCTTCTTATCGATTTTAGTGTATTATATACTCATTTTTTTCTTTTCCATTTACAGATAACAATTATGGAGTTACAGGTAAGACTAGTTCTTCATTGAATTTGACTGAAGACAGTATATTTTCAGGAGTATTGTGTGTGTGTGTGTGTGTGTGTGTGTGTTTAAGAGTTTATTTGAGAGAGAGCACGAGTCGGGGGAGGGGCAGAGGCAGAGGTTCAAGCAGACTCTCCACTGAGCGGGGAGCCCAACACGGGACTCGATCCCAGGATCCTGAGATCATGACGTGATCTGAAGTCAGGTGCTCCACCAACTGAGCCACCCAGGTGCCCCAGGAGTATTTTGTGTTTTAAAAGTTAAAACATAAAGATAATTTACCAAGCAGTACAATGTATATCCAGGCAGTGATGAAACCCATATGCATTTCAGATCTGACTTTATGTTTTTTTAGACACAACTAGCACAGAAGACTACTCTAATCAGTGATTCAAAGTTGAAAGAACAAGAGTTCAGAGAACAGGTAAGGTTTAATTGGTGCCTTTTATTTTGAACTGACTGCCTTAATTTATGTTCTTTTGTACTTGGATCTCATTTAGCTCACTTTTAAAAACGAACTGATATAATACTGATTTAATAGCTGGCTTTGCAATTTTGTCTTACACAGGAAATTTTATTTCCAAATCTGAAGGTGCTGGAGTTTATCTCTTAAATTCATGATCACATGTATTTAAACAAGAACATTTGTATCTTATTCTTTCTAGTGTTTAACATCTTGGATAAGAATTTGTCTTTATTTGTAATAACAAGTTTTAAAAAAAATGTTTTTGCTTTTATCAGAGGGAAAATATGTTGACATCAATCTTTACTACTTTTTCCTAGTAAATTGCCTTGTAAATTTTGTCCATATATTATCCAGTAATTAGGTTTAAATAGGACTGTGTATATATGTCTACAAGCATGCATAAGCATGAAAATACCAGTATATGCGTATCTGTGGTGCATCATCTTTAGTAGTCTTTTCTCCCAAATTCTAGAGGGATAGTGTACAAGTCAGCAGGCTGTTTGAAGGCTATATCTTCAGGGATTTTCCAGTTTTTGCTTTGTTTTAAAAATTATTTGAGAGAGGGAGAGAGAGAGTGCACATGCAAGTGGGGGAGGGACAAAGGGGGGCAATCTCAAGCAGACTCCCCACTTAGCGCAAAGCCCAACATGGGGCTCGATCTCACGACCCTGAGATCATGAGCAGAGCTGAAATCTAGAGTCAGATGCTTAACCGACTGAGCCACACAGGCACCCCAATTTTCCAGTTTTCTTAAAAGTCATACATACAAGAATCTTGACAATTGTTGAAATTAGGTGACGGATTGATATATATGGGCATTGATTGTACTATATTCTCTGTGGTTATGTTTGAAAACTTTCACAATATATTTTTTTTAAATCATAAAAATAGATGCTAAGTCCCAATGCTACTTTTTTTTTCTACTTCCCAGTGGTTTATCTTTTCTCATCTATTCTCAAGGTTGTTGCTTTAAAACTCTCTTCTTATAGCATCCTCAAATCTTCAAACTGTGCTAGCATAGCAATTTTTGTATTAGTTATTTTTATGGTGGTAAAATACACATAACATAAAATTGACCATTTTAACCGGTTTAAAGTGCACAATTCATTGACATGTAGTTCATTCACAATGTTGTGAAACCATCACCATTATCTAGTTCGAGAACATTTCATCTCCCCATAAGGAAACCTTATACCCATGAAGCTGTTACTCCCCATTACCTCCTGGCAACCACTACTCTACTCCTGTGTCTGTAAATTTGCCTATTGTATTTTATATAAATACAATCACATAAAACATAGCCTTTCTTATCTGGCTTATTTTACTTAGCACAGTGTTTTTAAGGTTCTTCAGTGTAGCATGTATCAGTACTTTATTCTTTTTTATGGCTGAATATTATTTAGTTATATGGATATATCATACTTCATTCACTAATTTATGAATGTTTGGGTTATTTCTACCTTTTGGCTATTACGTATAGTGCTGTCAGGAACATTGTGTACAAGTTTTTATTTGAGCACCTATTTCCAGTTCTTTGGGGTATATACCCAGAAGTGAAATTGCTAGATCATTTGGTAATTATATGTTCAGCTTTTTGATGAACCACCAAAATACATTGTGGCACCATTTTACATTCCCACCAACAAAGTTATATAAGGATTCCAATTTTTCCACATCCTCACCAACAAGTTTTTGATTATAGCCATAGTAGTTGGTATGAAGTAGTATCTCATTTTGGTTTTAATTTGCATTTTTCTAATGACTAATGATTGGACATCTTATATTCTGTTTGTTGGCCATGGGTATGTCTTATTTGGAGCAATGTCTAAGTCCTTTGCTAATTTTTTAGTTGGGTTATTTGGTTTCTTGGTCAGTTGTATTCTTTATTCTGAATACAAGTCCCTTAAGAGATACGTGATTTGCAAGTATTTTCTCCATTTTGTGGGTGGTCTTTTCACTTTGTGATAATGTCCTTTGAGGCACAAAAGTTTTACTTTTGATAAGACCATTTTATATGTTTTCTCTTTTGTTTGTGCTTTTGGTGTCATATCTAAGAAACCATTTGTATTAATTGTATTTGCCTATATTCTGTCCTAAGTATTAAAGAATCTAGTAGCTATAGCAGTCCTTTCTTTTACATATGGTTTCCATACGAATCTTATGATATGATTTAAGTATTTGTTACTTTTAGATTCACAATTTAGAAGACCGTTTGAAGAAATATGAAAAGAATGTATATGCAACAACTGTGGGAACACCTTACAAAGGTAGGAATGATCTCTTATGCTTTCCACAGTTATCTCTTATTGCTGGATTTATGGAGGAGTTTTATTTTTGTCTTTGCTAATCTGCTCTTTACAATGAATATATTTTACCTTTGTAATTCACCAATGACAGCTAGTTTTAAGGAAAGAATGATAGTAATCTAAAACAAAAATAATGCATATTTGTTGCAAAAAAAAAATCAAACAGCTGCCGTGTGTAAGTGGAACTGCAGGTTCCCACTTTATTCTACGCTCTCCAGATGGAACCAACCTAGTGGTAATTTATGTATATTTTCCCAGACTCTTCTGTATGTATCTTCTGTATGTATGCAAACATTTATGTAATCTACTACATGTACTCATACAGACACAGCTCTATGATTCTTTTTTTTTTTTTTAAGATTTTATTTATTTATTTGACAGACACAGTGAGAGAGGGAACACAAGCAGGGGGAGTGGGAGAGGGAGAAGCAGACTCCCGACTGAGCAGGAAGCCTGATGCAGGGCTCGATCCCAGGACCCTGGGATCATGACCTGAGCCGAAGGCAGATGCTTAACAACTGAGCTACCCAGGCGCCTCTATGATACTGTTTTTTACTATTACCATAGTGTTATATTTACTAATTTTAAACTCTGATTTAAGGAGAAAATAATTTCATAAAAATTCTTATACTCAAGGTAGGAGAGGGTGATTTGGAAACATTCTCTTGATTGAAATAATATATGCCACTTACAAAGGATTTTAAAGATGAACTTGAGTGTTTACATAGTGTTTCCCTTGAGATAACTATGACCTTTGAATAATCTCATAACAATTTCCCCATCTGTTTTGCTGCCTCATTTCATTAAGAATAGTTTTATTTTGCTAAATGTCTTATAAAGCTTTTTGCTTTTTCAGGGAAGCACTTGGGCATAAATCTAAACCATTTTACATCCCTTTGTGTTATTGAAAGCTCTTACTTACTGCAATGAAATAACACAAGATATTATATAATTTTCAATTAAATTAAACAAGGACTTGCTTTGGATTCTCTCCAAAATGCTCTTCAAAAACAAGAGAAAACCAGCTTGGAAGTGTCTCATGGCTCATTGCAGAAAAGATTCCTGCTACAAGGATTGTTTGCCATATCTAAGTCAACACATATGATTGTCAGCTCAACTGCTGACTTGGTGCTCAGCAGTGCATAGAGAATAATATTGATTCTTTTCATTAGTTTCAACTTAAGATTTTTATAATTTTCTTTTTTTCTCAGTTTTGAATTGTAAAACTGAACACACATGTACAGGGTATTTAATAACTAACACATATACCAGTCTCCTCTACCATCCAAAAGTAGAGCATTCCTTTGATACCTTTCATAAGCCGAAATGGTGTAAAGCAAAGAAGCAATTACAGTTAGTTTATATGGAAAAAATTTTTAGCATTCCCAGACCCAAAAAATATCCTCTCTTAGGCTTTTCTGATACCTTAGGACACATCTTGCTAACAGATGCACAAATAAACCAAGATAAAGCACAGATGCTCACAGACACAGTTCAGAGCTATGGCGGCTTGATGCCGAGCGTAGTTCCTGGGGGCAGGAGCTCGATAGAGTCACCCTTCTGCTGGGGGTGCGGGCTGCCTCTGTAATGGCTCACTGCAAAACAAATGCTGAACACTATTTTCACTTCTCGCCTTTTTCATAAAAGCAAAAAACTCTTTAGATTTTTTTCGTTAGCAAAGACAGGTACTAGTGTAGGTTTTTGTAAAAGCGAAGTGGCGTAACATGAATTTTCGAAAGGCAGGGAATACCAGAATAACACTAAGTGCTGGGCACTGTTTTGCATATCAACTCATTTAATTCTCTCACCAGCCTGGTCAGTCTAGTTGAATATGCACGTTAATCTCTTCACCATGCTATCTCTTTAAAGAGTAGAGTAGAATGAGCATCCACCAGGCAGGAAGAAATAAAAAGTACTAGTTCTTCAAAACCTCTCTGTAGGCCTCTGCAATAATAGCTTTATTCCTCCCCTCTACTGACTTTTTTTCCCCTGACTTTATGTTAACCATTCTCTTGTTCTTTATTGTTTACCACCTATGTATGTATTTCTAAGTAATACTTTGTTTAAATTTTGCTTGTTTTGGAACTTCATGTAATAGAATCATACTATAAGCTTGTATTTTTTCTTTTGCTTAACATAAGTTTTGAGGTGCATCCATGTTGTGTGTAGCTCTGGTTCACTCATTTCCATTTATTAATTTTGTATATTGTACATGTCTCATGTGAAAGATTTTCTCTATGCAACTAAGACTGGATTTGCTGAGTCATAGGATATGAACATTTTTGTGCACATCCTATCCTAGGTTGGCCAAACTAGATACAATTTGAAGATAATGTAGGAAACTGTTTTCTATATTTTTGTACTAATTTTCATTTTCACCAGCATTGGATAAGAGCTCTCATCACTCCAGCTCCTCAGCAGTCCTGGATTTATTAAAGCCCTTTTAATGCTTCACTGATTAAATTCTGTGCTGTGACTTGTAATTTTAATTACATCTCTCTTATTAGTAATCAGGTTGAACATCTTATTTGATCTTTTTTCTTTAAAGATTTTATTTATTTGAGAGACAGAGCAAGTGTGCATGGACAGGGGGAGGGGCAGAGAGGGAGGGAGAAGAAGAGACTCTCAAGCAAATTCTGTGCCAAGCATGGAGCCCGATGTGGGGATCAATCCCAGGACCTGAGATCATGACCTGAGCTGAAACCAAGAATTGGACTCTCAACCGACTGAGCCACCCAGGCGCCCCAATTGTTCTTTTTTTTATTCATTCATTTTAGCTGTGTATATTTCTTTTGTGAAGTTCCTCTCCATTTCTTTTTTGTTTTCTAAGATCATCTATCATTTTCTTATTGATCTGTAAGAGTTTTTTAAAAATTCTGAATATTAATCCTTGTTTACACATTATAAAAACAAGGATTAATATTCAGAATATAATACATATACTATGTAGTATATATATATATGTAGTATTTATATAGTATAATATTTATATATATCATAAAGATATTGTACTAGTTGGTATTTTCTTTCTTTATTGTCTTCCTTTTGAATTTTTTATTATGGATTTTTTTTAGACATATAGAAAAATAATGAATATGGCATATAATGAACACACATGTACACATCAGCCACCCTCCAGAATTATCAAGACATATCTAATCTTGGTTCATTTGTACCCCAACCTTTCCTATCCTTAGTCCATTGGATTATTTTAAAGTAAGGTAGGTATTATATCTTATTTCATATGTAAATATTTCAGTATGTATCTATACAGAGGATTCCTTTGAAATAACCATGGTACTAATATCACACTTAAAAATTTCACAGTAATTCCTTAATCAAATAACTGGTCAATGTTCAGACACGTGTAGTTTCATAAATGTTTTCTGGCAGTGATGGTGGGAGACAGTTGATTTATTTGAATCAGCCAAGTAGTACCCATACTACTTTGATTGAGAAATCACTTAAGTCTGTTTTTAAAACTCTAGATTCCTTGTCTTTCTCCCTCTCCCTTTGTCTCTCCTTTTGTTGTTTATTTGTTAAAGAAACCAAATTACTTGTGCGTAAGTTTAAGGCATTCTGAATTCTTGGTCCTCCATCCCCTAGTAGTTAGAATGAGGGGCTTGGTCAGATTTAGATTTGTGTTATTGGCAATAGTACCTCCCAAAGGGAGCCAAACTGTATGTTGTTTCACATCAAAAGACACGTGTCTTTTTTTTTTTTTTTAAGATTTTATTTATTTATTTGAGAGGGAGAGAGAATGAGAGATAGAAAGCACGAGAGGGAAGAGGGTCAGAGGGAGAAGCAGACTCCCCGCTGAGCAGGAAGGCCGATGTGGGACTCAGTTCCGGGACTCCAGGATCATGACCTGAGCCGAAGGCAGTCGCTTAACCAACTGAGCCACCCAGGCGCCCCGACACATGTCTCTTTTGTAACTGCTTTCACACAGTTCCAGGTGTCATCAGTTTGACTCATCACCTTTCACCTTGATTTTAGCACCCAGTGGGGACTGTTTTCCAAGATCTTTTTCACTAGTTATTGTGTAGTGGTGATATTCACATTCTCCCATTTCTTGTGCAGATGTTAACTGGAATTCTTCTGTAAATGGAAACATTCCCACATTATCTATGTGGTTACCTTGAGGTAAAGCTCATACAGGGAAAGCAGGATAAGTTCTTTTTACCCAGTTTAGTTATTCCACATTTTTGAGGGTCTCTTTTAACACCAGTAGTCTGTTCCAGTGATGAATTTGTCTATGCCTGCTCTAACACTTCACTCTATTAATTATGATGACTTCATAGCCTTTCTTGTTGTTTAGCTGGGGAAGCCCTCCCACTTTGTTTTTCAAGAGCGTCTTAGCTATCCTTAGCTCTTTGAATGTCCATTTAAGTTTTAGAATGAGATTATCAAGTTACACTCACAACACACACCCAGACCTGAGAGGATTTTGATTAGGATTGCTTTGAATTTACAGAAAGATTGAAGAGAATTGGTACCTCTATGGTATTGAGTATCCAACCCATAATCATGATATCTTTCAGCATTTACTTAGGTCTTCTTTGATTTCTGTCGCTATTGTCCTGAGTAGTTCTCTTGCACCTCTTTTATTACATTTATTCTTAGGTGTGATTGTAAAAGTAAAATTAGTTTTTTATTTTTATCTTCCAATTAAATAAATGCATGTACACTTTTAAAGAAAATCTGAGCCAAGCCTGCTGTTAACTAAAATTATCTGCAATACACTTAGTTGATTAAGATTGTTTCAAGTGTAGTTAAATGGATTTTCCAGTTGTACATTTTGGAATTGGGCCCAGGTAAAGTATTGTATTAAAAATGCTGAGTAGTACTCAGATAAAGTTATTTGGAAAGACTTACAAGAAGCAGTGGGTAGACAACCTGGCAGGCATCTTTATTTGAATAACTAATTTCCACTCTCATTGCTTAAAACCGAAAGTAAGAATTATGAGGAGAGGAAGAAATTTCTTTTATATGCTACTGTTAGGGAAAAGACAAGAAAGGGGGGTATATGCATTGAAAAACAATATTAATTACTTGTCCCGGAAAATGGCTATACCTAAGTAATCCACGTGTTTATAATAATAAAATCAATTATTTTCTGAAAAGGGTACAACATTGTAAACTCTTGCATTTTGCATCAATCTAGAGGAATGAAACACTTAAGTATGATATATAAATGGCTTTTGAAGAGGAAGTAGTGCATTATCATTATTGAGTTCTGGTTGCTATGTATTTACAAAGCGTGGTTTGAGAGCTTGTTTGGAGGTTCTAGCAGGGGAGCGCAGCTGAAGGTGTGGTTTGAGTGAGTTGGGACTTTAAAGGTGTACACTTTTAAAAAATGAAATATTCCAAACATACAAATGCATGCAAAGTAAATACCAAGTACGAAGACTGGTTAGCACTTATGAATTCGCCCTCCAGAACATTGCCAGTGCTCCTTGTGCTGCTCTTCAGTCTCCTATCTCCCTGTTCTCCCATCGGTAACCACTGGTAACATGCTACAGCATATGTACAGTTCTCTAAAACAGTTGACTTTAACGTGTTACATGTTTTGGGCTGTATAGAAATGATATACTGTATATATTCTGCATATTCCTGCCCTTTTTTCACCTAGCATTATGATTTTGAATTTCATTCTAGAAGCTATAGTTGTTTAACCATTTTGAATGCTGAGTTTAGTAATAATACATTCCATCTGTATACCATATTTTATTTATTCTCCTGTTGGTGGACCTTTGAATTGTCTCAGTTTTGCTTTTATAAACACTGTAACTGTGAACATTGACTTCTGGTGTACATGTGAAGCGTTTCTCTAGGATGTTTTGGTAGGCATTGAATTTTGGCATCATAGAGTATGCTTGTCTTCCACTTTATGAAGCTCTGCAAAGCAATGCTTAGTTGTCTAGGGTGGTCGCATCCATTCACATTACACAGTCGGTGCACAGCCATTTCCATTGTCCTGCACACTCACCAGTTCTTGGCATTATCTGACTTTCAGGATTTTACTAATCTCATATGTGTCAATAATACTCCATGAGGTTTTATTTGTTTCTTTTTACTGAACAAATGGTGGTTTAAATTCTCAACCAAAAGAAATGTAAAGTTACAATGAAAGGCCACTTTCAACTTTGACATTTAGAGGCTCACGTATTGTTCATCGTACAATATTTGAAGCCTTGATGTATTATCTTGCTGCACAGTGTGATTTCATATATTCAGTTTTTTAAAAATCCAGGGTATAAATTTACACATAATATTCAGTGTGACTTCATATACCTGATCTGTATTTATTGTTTACTTTTAGGTTGAAATGGGGCTTGGTTAACAGATGGACTATAACTTTTTATGACAGGCTTTAAGATGTTGAACCAAAATATTTGAAAACCACTAAAATGGCATTAATATTTCATGCATTTTCAAGTTATTTTATCTGTCCTGTGTATCCAAAGAGTTTTGAAAACTTGATTTAAACTTAGGTGCTTTTAGATTTGGAATATGAGAAAAACTAGAATTCTGTTCTGAGATACTAAGTTCTTAATAAATACAAATGATTATTAATTTTAGTCATTGTGGAATATCTGAAGCCAACCACATAATACTGAGAAGAGAAATACCGGATTTAAGGAATCTTTATATTCCCTAAGTATAGTCTTTTAAAATTGCCATGCCAAAAGGAGGAGGAGGAAAAGATATGAGAAATAAAATTGCTATGATAATTCTTATTTTTTTCTTCCAGTGGAAAAATACCAATTGGAATGTTTTGTGTATGTATGTACAGTACTATACAGTACAATATAATTAATACAAGAATGATGCCTCCCTTTATTCTTTGGATTGTTCTTTAGTTTGTCTGGTGTCTAAGTAATAAGTAGCTTATCTGGTTTTGCTTTACAATGTGATCTGTTTTTTTTTTTATTTGACAGGTGGCAGTTTGTACCATACTGATGTCTCGCTCTTTGGAGAACCTACCGAGTTTGAGTATTTGAGAAAAGTGCTTTTTGAGTATATGATGGGTCGTGAGACTAAGGTATAAATCATTTCTGATGATTTGGCATGTGGCTTAATTTAAAAGGAAATGTGTGCATTTTTAATACTTTAATACACATATTGATGCTGTATTTTTACTGTTGGCAGACCATACATGCTAATAATAGATAATAGGTAATTGTGTTATTGTTCTTAGTTTACAAAAATGAATTGGCAGATCTTGCTTATATTTGTTATAGTTATAAAATATTAATTAAAAAATACTGTTGGTTGATGCTGAGTACTAAAAATTGACATTTCATTAACTGATACTTTGTGAAACATGTGGCTATTTTTACTTTTGACCTCAAGTCTTAAAGTTAGGAGAATAGATTTCATTTTCATGGAAACTTTAGGGTAATGTGGAAGTATTGGAAATGGTCATAATTAAGAATTAAGTAGTAGACTACATAATTAAGCAGTTGCTTAGAGATATTTAGAAATATTTTAGTTTAGTCACTGTGAGAAAATCATTCCTATACATATGGAATATCGATCATTAAAATCACCACATAATATAAGTAATAGTGCTTGGCTAAATTTGTTTTCTGGAATGTTAAATTTATTGTAAGGTTCTTGAGTATATAGTCTTGTCTTTTTCTTGTTTGTATCCCCTGCAGTGTTCTTAAAAGAGCCTTATATTGGACTTTTGATAAATGTATCTTGAATTGAATATATTTAGGGAAATTCATGAGCCTTTCCTCAAAATTTTTCATTTAAAGCAATTTCTTTTCTGACATTGCTTCAACTTTTTACCTTCATAAACTTTTACATTGTCCATATACGTTGGCTGAGAATGGGATTATGAGTTTTCCATTTTTAGAAGCAATCAGTGTTTTAATTAATGGGTCTTTGGGGGTTACTGAGTCAAAGAGGGCTAAACCAGTTCAGAGATTAATTTGGCAGATATATTTGAAGCCTAAAAAGTAAGGGCATAAGAAAATCTCTTAAAAAAATATTATGAATTTATGGATTATAGATTAGCTAAACACTAGGAGTTATAGGGCTCTAAGTCATTTGAATCCTTAATATCTATAGAAATCTCATTTCATTTTATCAAATAGTTTCAAATTAAAGTAGTATCTAGTGTGATCCTGAGCATGTAACACAGGAAGGGTATGTTAATTCATAGTAATTCAGTTTTTTTCTTAAAGGAATTTTTTTTTAAATTCAAAGAATAGCTAAAGCGAATTTTCTGCTTTTTAAAAATAAAGCTAATGAAATATAACAATCTCTTATTAAGTCTTTATTGGATAGTAGCCTGTATCTGAGGTGGGGTAGATAATTTAATGTTACCTTGTTACTGCAGGGAAGGGAGAAGGGTATATCTTTAAAAAAAAAAAAAAAGGCTTCTCAGAACTGTAGCTCTATTGGTTCATTTGTTGAATCTAAAGCTGTGATCCAGTGTGCTAAATAAATTATTTGACCTTTTCTTGATCTGTGGAATGAAGAGACTAACTGCCTCAAACTGTGTCTTCTGGAGGTTGGGAACTGTGGAGGCTGAGATCTCTACAGAGTTTGAATCCTGAAGAAAGAGCCAGCCCAAGCATAGATGTGTTCAGGGGCAGTGCCAGGCTGCCAAGTGCAAGCTTGTGCTTCCAGGGTTGTGCAGCTTGTTTTAGGCTGTGACTTAGGAAACAGCTGGAAGGGGTGTCCTCAGGACACAGGCAGCCCCGTCTAATACCTGACTGGGAATCCATGTGGCAGAGTGCTCTCTCTGGTCTTTTATCGTCAGCATTCAATGCATCTGGTTAATGATGAGTCTGTCATTCTGCCATCACATTTTACAGGTAAATACAGAAAATTGGTAGCAGATATTCAGCTTAATTTACTACTTATTTATTGAGCACTTGCTACATGCGGCCTTTTGTTTATCACCACGATGGGTAGAAAGATGAAATTTGACACTATCCCTAATTTTTTTTTACCCCATCCCTAATTTTAAGGAGTTTACTATATAGTAGGAAAGTGGACCTGTTCCCAGTTAAGCATAACATGATACAAAATGTCATTAAGAGAGGCACAGAGTTCTCCTGTTGACTTGTGGGAAGGTCAAGGAGGACATTGTGGAGAAGCAGTTGTATCTGCTGGGCTTTAAAGCCGGGTGGGGGGGTATGTGGGGGTGGTTAGATTTGAATAGATGAACTCAGATGTGAGGGAAAGCCTAGACAGGAGGTCCAAGGCAGGAAATTGAGTGTGGGTTTTGGAATGACAAGTAGTCTGGTCCAACTGAAACACTGGATCTATGGTGGTGGTGACTCCTTTTAGGGCTGCACAGGGTGTGGAAGGCATGGAATGTTTTCAGAGTTTTACCTGTAGGGACTGGGGGTTAGTTAGCCCTTGAGCAGAGATTGACAAGCTCAGAGCTGGTTTTAGACTTATCTTTTACGGATTTGCTTCATTTCTACACATTAAAGAATTTGAAATGGAGACCAGGCTGTGGTTTTAGAGTGAGCCAGAGTATATTGTGGCCTTTGGGATTTGATCCTCATCTGAAGTTGTATCTTGTCCAGCAGGATATGTATGTCATCCCACCTGTGTTTCTTCATCTGCTTTTGCACACAGTGTTCCTTATTTTATGAGGCAAATGATTTATTTAAGAAGACCACATGTAGGACACTCATTCTTATAGTATGAAGCTAAGTAAGTGTCCCTTCTTTCTTCTGTCCTTCACTTTCTTTGTCTTGGGTTTTGATCCTCCATGCTAAATTCAGCCTGTTTTCCTTTTCAGTAGAAAGTGTTTCTCACCCTAATTTTTATTAAAGCTTCTCCCTCAAGAAAACCTGGCAGGAGATGCCACCTCTAAACCAGGTGGCTCATTTGAACTTTGCCTTACCTCCCAGGGACTGAGGATATTACTGTATATAGAATAGACCGACTGAGTTTTCTCCCATGGTATGGCAAAGAGCCTGGGCTTCTCCATTTAAATTTTTTGGCAAGCCAGGGAAGAGCTTTAAGTCTTTACTGGGTAATCTGCTGCAATTTCAGGATTGCTGATGAATCTAGAGGTGGGTTTCTCATTAACATTGTCTAGAAACGTGGAGACAACTAGCGACAGTTTGGGGGTTTTTTGACAGACATGTTTGTGTGTGCGTGTATGTGGTTTCAGAGTGAATATAAGTGGACTTTTCGGTACTTTGAATCTTACCAGCTATTGAAATTAATTCCTAAAAACAGTCTTCTTAGACAATATACCAAAAACCATTAAAAATTGCTTCAGAGTGTTAATGAAAAAGATACTGATATAGTCTCTACTTCATATTCCTCTTGTCATTTCATGCCACATATGCTTAGTTTCTAGACTGGTTTAGCATGGAAGATTCTGTTCTATCTAGGCAATACAATTTAAAGGATGAGGGTTTTGTAAAATGCCTTTGGAATTCTCCAAGAACTGCGTTATTTTAAATGGTATTTTTTTTAAAGATTTTATTTATTTATTTGAAAGAGAGAGACACAACGAGAGAGGGAACACAAGCAGGGGGGGTGGGAGAGGGAGAAGCAGGCTTCCCGCGGAGCAGGGAGCCCGATGTGGGGCTCAATCCCAGGACCCCGGGATCATGACCTGAGCCGAAGGCAGACGCTTAACGACTGAGCCACCCAGGTGCCCCTTAAATGGTATTTTTTTGATCCTCAAAATGGCAGAGGTAAAGATGAAAGGAAGGAAGGGGGCTGACATCTTGCTGCGTATGGGGTTTGTGGTGGAAGAACAGAATTAGTTGAAATAAGTATTAGAAGTATGTAAAGTGCCTTGCCTGGGCTTGGCACATAATAGGAATTTTAAAAAACATTAGTTTCTTTCCTTCCTGGAGATAATTATACATATACATTATATATGATGTGAGTTTGTAAAATTTTTGGTTAACTCTATTATGTCATATTTTCCTTAGTGGCCTTCCCTAGTCCCCGGCCCCCTCCCGTACACACACACACACACACACACACACACACACACACACACACAGAATCTGTGTAACTGTGAACCAAGAATGTTAGAGTGAGTTCTCTAGGTGACCCTGCCATCCTCTGTAGGAATCCTCAGGGGAGAGCACTAGCACCTGAATTTGTATGTAAGCACTGAACTTGTTATCCTACTTATTTCGTAAGTGTATCTTATTTCATAAGGTATCTTCTTTCCTCTCTGTCTCCCTCAAAACATCTCATCTTGATACAAAATAGGGAATTTCCACCTTTGAGGAGAATTTTCCACGAGCTTTTGGGTGACAGTCTGACTTACGGTATATTCATTTAGATCTGCACAATTTATGATCTTGTTTTGCAAGCCACCATGTGTAATGTTTTGATTCATCATGTTTTCTACCAAACAAAACATCTTGTGTTTATTTAAAATGTAATTTGTATTTCTATTAGGCTGATGTGCTGCATGTTGTAAAAAATACCTACTAAGCATGTTCATGTTCATGCAGTAGCCCATGTTTATGAGATATATGATGTGATTTAGTTAAAGCTGAACTTGAGAGTATCTAATTCTGATTATCTAGAGCATATGTTTGGCAATACATCACTTACTAGATAGATTTCTACAAATAAAAAACCTAATAAAATGAATGAGTAATAAAGTTTCATCTTAATTAAGACAAAGGGCCAAGAGCATTAGAACTTTATATAGCTTCATGCTATTGTAATTGCATCGTCTTGAAATAATATCAACAGACATTGTGAGGAGTCCTTTTAAATTGAAATTCTAGTGTTGGCTGTTATTTCCTTGACTGATACCTTCACATCATACTTCTTTGGTCGTGGCTTCCATTGAGAGCACTAAAGAATCCCACCAGCAGAACATGTCAGAATGGGGTGAGACTTCATCTGCTTCACCGTCTATTAGTGATCATCTCTTGTTTTTCTTGTAGACCATGGCAAAGGTTATAACCACTGTACTGAAGTTCCCTGATGATCAGACTCAGAAAATTTTGGAAAGAGAAGATGCTCGGCTAATGGTAAGCTTTAAAAGTAGGCTACAGATAGAAGATGACTTTATCCCATCTTTTTATATCCTGTTTAATTTACAAAGACTTTGAGTTAATGGAAGATATTTTAAATGTTTAGTTTTTATTATACCGTAGCCTAAAAAATGAGAGTGAATCTACATTAAGAAAGTTTAACCAAGGGCAAATATGAAATGGTGTCCTCAAGGAAAGAGCAGTCTTCTTCAATAGCATATATGAGGTTGACACCCATATATGCTGTATATGGGATTTCCAGAACTTGGGCTATTTCTGGGAAGTACAGAAAAGGCATTTGTTCTGGTATCTCTAGTAATAATTTTTTAAAACCAGTTTATGCCATGAATTTTGGTGTTCTATAGATTACATCTCTCTTTCCCACTTTAGTTATTTTCAAATATAATAATTCTGAGTGAAAAATTTAAGCATTTTTTAGTTTTTGACATACCCAGCAAGGGAAATGTAGATAATTGTATTATTAGAAACCTTTGTGTGAAGTTAGCTGTAATTGAAATGAAACAAATACACACTTCATAAATTATGCAGAATTATTCCCCAGCCTAACTTCTTTTTGCCCTGGGCCAGTAATTCACTAAGAAGATCCATTCTAAGCAGAGTGTGAAATTTGTGAAGTCTCAGGTCCTGCCCTAGCTTTCTCTTTCTGCTTCCTTTTCTTGTCTTGCTGGTAGCCTGCAGCACCGTTCACATCCTTCTCCGTTTCTTTACTTGCTTCATGATCCCAGCACCACTGTTCTCTTCTCACTAAAGCAAGCAAAGATCTCCTTTATGATGGGTTAGCCTATGTCTGAGTATCTCTAGTAAGAAGGACTAAGCCAATAAACCTCCCGAAGCATCCCATCTGATCTCGACAGAGTGTGTCTCTTACAAAAGCTCTTGCTTATCTTGATCTTCCTTCCTGTAGTGGTTACCAGTTTGTTCTGGTTCTAACCCATGGAACTCAACCAAAAATTTGTGGATAGCCTGAGTGGAGGACTTTTCCTCTCCAGGCCAGACACCCTGCACCTGTCAGCCATTTCTTTCTTTCTTTTTTTAATTTGCCCATTTTATTTATTTTCTTTTTAAGTTAGGCTCCATGCACAATGTGGGGCTTGAACTCATAGCCCTGAGATCAAGAGTTGCACCCTGGAGCTCCTGGCTGGCTCAGTTGGTAGAGCATGCGACTCTTGATCTCAGGGTCGTGAGTTCAAGTCCCCTGTTGGGTGTGGAGCATACTTACAAGAAAGAGAAAAAGTTGCATCCCTACCAACTGAGCCAGCCAGGCGTGATGCTTCTCTCCACTGACGCATTGCGCAGGGCCAATTGTGAAGGAACCCCAGTGTATCAGGCACATCCTGATCTCCTCTTCCTTGCTTTCTCTAAAGTCATCCCAGCATCCCTGACCTTTGTCCCATTACTCCATTGCACATTGTATCATTTACCTATTGTATATTTTCTGAGACAGTTGCAATTATTTTGGTTAGCATTTAAGTGTTTTTTGGAAAGCATTCCTCCCTGTATCTAATGGCCTGAAAAACATTGTTATACCTCTGTAGTTATTTCGGGTGATAAATATTTTTTATAAGAAGTATATCACTATAATGTATGCCCTTGGTCAATAGAATGTTTTAAATTATAGCAAACTTTAATTCTAAAACCATGTAGTTACTCAGAGTAGTTTTCCTCCTCACTGTATAAAACAGCTGTGTCTTTGTGAAAATAAAACTCTCCAATGTAATTGGAACCTGTCGACATGATTCTGTCATTATGGCCCAGTTTAAGAAAATATTTTTAAATGATCTAATACACCTTTGTTCATTCTCCCATGGCCTCTTTATCATCTTGATATTGGGGTATGGCAAACTCTCCTCTTACTCTTGGGCTACATTTTATCATGGCTTTGGCAATAGGGTGGGAAATATTCCCCTTTACCCCATACACACATGCAGTCTTGGATTTGTTTGTCTTGAAGGAAATGGTGAGTTGATAGTGTAAATAGTGAACCATGTAAAGAAAAACCTTTTAAAGCAGATGGAAAAAAAATTTTTTTAACTAAAAAGAAATCTTTGAAAAATATTACACTCTTTATTCCTGAATAAAGTGGTATTCATTCTAGATAGGGATGAAATGGTGACTGTTCGTTCCTTCTTGAAATAATTCTCCCTTGTCCCAGAGGCTGACCTGCCCAGGAAGAAAGTCCCACTCTTTCCACTACTACTTCAAGCAGAGTCTTATCCATCATTAGCTTTTGCTTAATGAATGAGTTCAGTCAGCAATCACCTACTCTTCTGTTTGTTGTGGTGGGTATAGGAAAATTGAAGACATGGAAGATAATGGTTGTTGACCTTGTGGGCGCCTTTAATTTTAGGGGTAAGAGGTAGCACCCATTCATTGTGCACAAATAAAAGGTATTTCTAGTAATATAAATCAAGTAATAAGAATAGATGCTTAGGAAATATGAAATAATGTCTAATGAGCATGAAGTGAGGCTCAAAGATGGCTTATAAGTCAATTTGAGTCACCTTTTGTTAGTTTGAGATTCTTGGTACTTGAGAGTGATTCATGGTTGTTTTTACATTTGATATATAACTGTATAGAATACGGGCTTTTTTAGGAGTTTATTAAATGAGCACTTAAAAACTGTTTAGTGACATTAGCTTTATTTATTTATTTATTTTTGACATTAGCTTTAAATGTGTGTTCCAGATGGATCTACTCTGTAATTTGTTATAAATAAGCAGCACAGTTTCCCTTGTATTTAAAATCAGCACCTTGAATGCTTTGTTATTATAACTTTGGACGCTAAAAAGCTGGTAAAAGTAAACCAAAACAAACCCAAGCACATTACAGAGCTGCCTTCCCATCCATTAATTTCGGGGATGCTCGAGAGAGTGTGGACCGCGCTTTGTGCTGACAATGTGTAGCCATGCCAGCATTTGCATTATTTAGTGGGTGTTGTAAGAGGAATGCAGTCTAAAACTTTGCTTCATGACCCTGATGATTGTGTATTTGCTTTTTGGCCTTGATCAAAGAATTTCTGTGACTGCTGGTAAGGTATTTCTCAATATACCTCTTTTTGCTTTACCTCCCCTCCCCTCAGTGAGTTTTACACTCTGTATTTGAAAACCCCATTATAGAAAACAACGATTATTACTTAATAAGTGGTTTCAGAGTTTAACCTAATTTCAGGATTATATTTCATAGATGAGAAATTGTTACCAGTCAAGATTAAATTGTACAGCATAATTAAATGCTGGCTTATTTGAGGGCTGTGATGTGTAGAGAAGGAATCCTAGTCCTTCACTGACAAGTGTCAGAGCCTCTGTTTCTTCACAAAACAAACATCCCCTTATTAGGTTGTCAGAAGACCAGAGTATATAGTGCTTGCATTGGGTTTCTGAGATGATGGTAGAGGGGGCGGTGATGATCACTTAGCCGCCACACAGCAATACGTGTGTGTAGAATGTCTTTCCTAGCAAAGGAGACTTAAAATGGTCAGTTAATCTTGATGTGTGTAAGATCAGTCATTACAGATGTCAGGAGGACAGCCAAGTCATTTTGCAGGAATGATAGCAGCTCAGAAAATGTCCCTGTGTCCATGCCAGTGCCTTGGAGTGCCAGCCATAGGCTGCACTGAAATATTTGTAGATTTTCAAGTTTTAGATTTGTTTCCAGTGGAAAAAAATTGCCTTATGTATAACAGAAGATCAGAAGAAAACTCACACCAAATGCGCGTGCTGTTTTTGGTGAGAACAGCCTTTTTCTTTCTCTTAGCTTTCCAGCTTACTGTGCCTGATACTTCATTTTGTGATGGTTTAGGCAACTTAGATGGCTACAGTACACTAGATACTTTGAGTAACAGGGTAAGAGCAAGAGTGAGTACAAAAGTCTTTGACTTGTCTATTTTTTTGCTGGATAAAACTGCCCTACGAGTACACCATCAGCTTTTTTTTTTAAGGAGAGTGTTATTATTTAGGATAATTTTATTAAAGTTTATTTCAATCAGGTGCTAACTCATCTCTTGGAATTGAGAGGTTCTTTTGTTATATAGACATCTCTTTTAAAGTGTTCTTAGCAATGCATTTTTCTTTTTAGGGTACTAGCAAACTGACATGTTTCACCTAGATGGCTATTTTTTTGAGGACTCCCATTGAAGGAAAATTTTTTTCTCTTCTATTGAAGAAGATTTGGCTTATTTTCATTCCCCATCCACTCTTGTCATTTTTAAAAATTGATTCTTGCCCGACCAGTCTTGTACTTAAGTTAATGTTTCTCACTTTTTCCCTTTGGTTGGAATTTTAAGAATCTCCTCTGAGTTAATAATTCATCTGAACTTTTCAAGCATTGTTAGATACAGAAGTTTTCCATCCCAAAAGAGGCTTACCTTTGCTTTTGTGTGGGCTCAGTAGATGCATGGAAGGTGGATCAAGAAACAGAGGCAGGGGTGCCTGGGTGGCTCCGTCTTTGGGTGTTTGCCTTCCGCTCAGGTCGTGATCCCAGGGTCCTGCGATCGAGCCCCGCATTGGGCTCCCTGCTCCTCGGGAAGCCTGCTTCTCCCTCCCCCACTCCCCCTGCTTGTGTTCCCTCTCTCGCTGTCTCTCTCTGTCAAAAAATAGGTAAGATCTTTAAAAAAAATAAAAAAAAGAGATAGATACTGATGCAAAGTGAAAAATACTGTACAAAGTGCTTATTTGTTGTCTCAAAGTGGTTTTGACTCTTGATTTTCTTAGAATTGTATAATATGTGGTCATTGCAAAAGAAAACATTGCAAACAATTCAGAATCATATTACATAGAGAGGGAGACCTTCATGTTTTCAGCTTCCCAACACTTTCTATCATGTCATGATCATCTCTCTTAATAGTTTGTTGAATATCCCCAGGCTTTCTAATAAGATTTATAAATATATATTTATAATTATGTTTTTAATCACCTAAGTATTTTATAAAAGTGGCAGAATGCAACAGCTTGCTTTTTTCACTTAACATATTTATTTTTATTTTATTCCACCTCATTACAAATTGATGTACCTTAATCTTTTTACTGGCTGATTGTATGATTATATGGATGTCCTACAATTTAGTTCACCAATTTCCCATTGATAGACATGTAAGCCATTTCCAGTTTTCAGTGCTTACAAAGCATACACACAGGGAGTGTCCCTTTATATATAGTTTGCCCACTTCTGCAAGTTTTTCAATAGGATACTGGCCTTATTGTGTTGTGTGTTGCAAATATTATTTTCTAGTTTGTCTTTTGATTTTGCTGCTTCTTACTAACTGCACCATTAAATATAATAGAAAAGTAAAGTGATTCTTCTGATGGTTACACTAAGAACAGACTCAGATTTTATAAATAACCCTTTTTACTGATGCTATTTTGAAGCAAACCAGAAAGCTCATTAATAATCTTAGATTATGGCCATTTTAGATAGGACAAAGAATTTATTTAAGAAGGTTGTTAACGGTAAAAAGTATGTTTGAGATTGGGTCCCCTTGACTGGAAATTTTCAGTTTGGGTCATCATTCCTGAAACCATTCCTGACAATATACTGTTGAATTACAAGAGGGTTATTCAGTGATAAAACTGACATATATTAGGAAGGACAATTCAACATAGAGACATACTGTATTCACATCCATCAACATTTTCCCCCAAATTTTTGATGGTAAATTGAGATTATATAAATCAAAGTTTAATGTGTACTTTAATGGAACTATGAAAGAAATCTTTTTATAAAGCAAATAATCATACCCAGTTAATCTTCTGTATAAATATTTACTTAAAGTGTGAAGTATCTTTAATTATGTTGTTCAAATTTTTAAAGTTGCAAATGAAAGCTACATAATACTATACTTAGAATGGGAGGGAGGTGTTACAGACTCCTTATACTTTGCCTATGCTCCCTTGATTTGGGGAGATTTGAGAAAATGTTAAGTACATTCTGTTTAATCCTTTGAAATTCATATACACATATGATCTCTGTGTTATATTAAGTCTTAAAACTAACCCAATAAGCTTTTTTTCTTCCTGGCTTGTAGTATACTTCACCTCGCAGTGGTATCTTCTGAGTAAACCATCAGTCTGTGCTTAGTTAGCATGTGGTGAGTGAAGAATAATGTCTTGTGTCTTTTGTGCAAAAATCAAATGTATTGCATGATACTAACCATTTCGCTGGAATTCTTTTGCTCTTTTGTTTAATGAATATATGATTATGCTGTGGGTTAATATAGGTATTTTCTGTTAATTCTGTTTTATAGATTAATAATATATAGATTAATAATCACCACCACCAGTAAGAGTTACATAATCTTAGGAAATTTTGCTTCTTTAAATAATAATTGAAAGTTAAAAAATTGCTCTTTAAAATTTTATTAATTCAAAAAAATTTATGTATTTTATCATCTTTTTAGTTTTTATTTCCCAAGATTAGTCTTGGCAATTAATAAAGATTGTTAGAAGTGAAAAATCATTTTCTAGGTAGAGGTGAAACGATATATTTCACGAAACCAGAATTTAAAATATTGTAAGGCCCACTTATCAGGGCCCATCTGAAATAATGAAAACTAGTAAAGTTGATTTTAAAACAAATGTAATTTTATTAGTTCCTGGGCGCATACGGTATAACATCTATCCCGAGGAGACCCTAAGGCAGCCTGCTTCGACTGAATGCAGCTGTTTGTAGTTATATTAGGAAGTGAAGGCATCTAAACTGTTTGGACACAGTTAACTGTCCTCACCATTTAAACACCCCGCCATCAGCTCTGTGTATTAGTCATGCTAGTGGCTTGACTTGGCACCACCTAACATTTACGGTACATCTTTACCTCTGACTTCGCTGCAATTTTTACAAATGACAAATAAGCTAGATTGCAATTAATAGAGCTTAATCAAATTAAGATAAAGATTCTCTGTGATTCTTAATTCCGCTAGTATTCAGCTAATGGTATCAAGGTTTAAAATGCCAAATGTATAGCTTTTCTTTTTTAATCTTTTAGCTTTAAAAATCATTTATGCCTACATTTGAGTCTCACTTTGATTTTAGTGTACATCAGTTAACCTCCCTTAGTGATTATCTAGAACTATCTTTAGTCTTGTAAATCCCTTAACATTTTCCTTTGTTCATGGTATTATAAATACTCCATTATGCTTGTCTTTGTATCATTTAAATACTATCATTTATCACTGGAAGTGTGTACTATGTAGCATTTTATCGATTGATTGTCTTTTCAGCTTTTATTTTGAAAAATTTCAAACATAAGATTTGTAAAAATAGTGCAGTGAACACCTATATACCCTTCACCGATATTCACCAATTCTTAACCTTTTGCAGAATTTTCTCACTTGCTGTCTTACTCTTGCTCTTTCTCCATATATATCTTCCCCTCCCTAACACTTGACCATTGCTTGCAAACACTTGCGCTTACAAGCATTTGACACTTACTTACAAACTTGCAAAATAAATACTTTAGAAAATATCTTTAAGAACAAGGGCATTTTCCTACAAACTCAACAATACAATTATCACTCTCAGGAAATTTAATATTAACATACTGTTACCTAGTATATTGTAAATATTCACATTTTTCCATTTTTCAAATAATGTCTTTCATAATTTTTTAAATTCCAGGATCCACTCAGAGATTGCACATCACATGTCATTGTCATGTTTTTCTAGTTTCTTTTACACTAGAAAAGTTCTCCCAGCCTTTTTTTTTTTTTTTTGGTTTTTCATGACATTGACATTGAGCAGCATTATTAAATCATATGTGAATTTCTTTTCCCACAACAGTATAAGCTAAGGCTTCAAAATAATAACTGACATAGGAATTTAAATATGACAGAAGATCTTTTTCTCATCTTCTCTAGGTTTCTAGGACCAACCTGATTGTTGAGCAAGTTTTATAAATAATACACTATTGGGAATACATCATGAGTATCAGTGGATTATATTTTTCACTTACAAATTGTGAAGACTTTAAAACTTTCTCTTTCCACTAAATATGTATAAAAAGTTTATCTCTATTAATTTTATTTGGTAATTTATTTTTGTGGCATTTTAACTTAATCTAGCTACTGGCTTTTAGCATTTTAATCAGAGAAGCCTTATTAGGAATCATTAGCGTCATTTCTCTTAGCATTTTAGGGTTTTTAAAATTGAGTTTGTTAATTTCCAATGAGGCATAGCTTTTTTACACCAAAATGCTGTTTGTCCTTTGCTGCCATGCGTATCATCCTAGGAGAATTGCAATATGTAGAAAAATCAACACATTAGAGAAAAGGGAAGAACTCTCTGTCCCCTTTAAATCTGAATAACTGCATCCTTGTGAGGTTCTGCCAAGTCAGCACACGTACTCCTGGCTTCTCCAGCTATGATCAGTAGCATTCAGGACATGTGAAAGGTGGCAGTTCCAGATGTCACTGAAACGTCCTGTCTTTCAGGATCGCTGACCTGTAGGATCTATAGGTCAGATCATTCCAAGAATTTTTAGAAGATTTTTTTTAGGATTTAATATTTAGAGAATATTTCTACTTTAATCCCTAGACCATAGAATATAATTTTATTTTAACTTGAAAAAACAAATCTCCCAAAAAGTTGGCTTAAAATTTTTTTTCTTTATCCCTTTTCCCTTCTTCTTTTCCAGTCATGGCTCCGATCGTCGTCTTGAAGAAACGGGGTGGTGGTGTTGGGCAGGCATGGAGCCCTGTCTGTGTTTGCCTCTTTGAGAAGCAAGCTGTTATTCAGGGCCCGATATGGAGCCAAAGACCAAGAGAAACCTGACATTGGCCCGCAGATATATTGCAGACTGCCTTTCAGATCGATTATATCAGTGGAGAAATGGTGATAGTTTTTTTCTTTTTTGTTGGGAGGAGTTTTATGTTGTTTTAAAAGATATTTTGAATAACTCAACCTGACTTACGGGCTCATTTAATGTTCCTTTCTTCCATTCTTTTTGTCCCTCTTTTTGAAGAACTGCTTGCCTTTCCTATTTATTTTTAGGGTGATTTCTTTTAAAGACTTGTGCAATACATTTTGAGGTGAAACTTAGTAGATTTTTTCTGATAAATTAGAGCATTTAAATTGAGTATTTTATCCAGATTGATTTGTTGAAAATTTGCTAAAGACTAGTTCTTTAAGCTATACATATGATAAATCCAAACAGCAGTACCTCATTGTTTACTTAGCTTTTGTACTTATATTTTTCAGAGGAAAAAATACTACTGTAAATTGTAAATAATCAATATTGTATTGTATGCATACTGTATTGTATGCAGATCTGTGACTGTTGGCAATGTCATCTTGGAAGAACAGATAAATAAAGTTTATTTACTATATAAAATTTGCTTATTGTGCTTTTTTACTATGTTGAAATCTTATTTCAATATAGTTAAGAAATGATGTTCTATCTGGGTGAATATTTTGAGGAACTGTTTGTCAAGATAGCTAAATGCTAACCATTTGGGAAGATCTTTTATGTTCAAAATTAGCATGACCAAGTTAGAAGAAGTATGGAAACAAAAAATACTTCATGATGTGTGTTTTAGGAGTCTGCCAACTTGGGGATGCCTCCTCTCTCTGGAGTAGACCATACTTTGATTCTTTTTAAACTTAATGAGAGAGAGCATCTCTTGGACAGCAAGAGATGGGAACTGTTCAAGAGGGCTTCACATACCCTTTATATTCTAGCAAATACAGTATTCAGTATGTAGGTATTGCCTAACCTCTGCCTCAAGGTGGCATCTCGATTATCCAGACAGTGTGGACCTTCGCATTGCTGGTGTATCCTATAGTGTGATCAAGAATGGGGAGCTCAGAGGGATAATGACCAGTGGGTCTTCCTATATAACCCACAGCTGATTCCTTTGAGGACTACTGTTTCAGCAAGGGAAGAGGGTCTTCTTACCACCCCCCCTTTTTTAAAATTAGGATTCACTTAGGGGGCAAAATTTTGTGCCACCGAAGGGTTTCTGACAACAGACATGACCATCTCTTACTTTTTTTTTTTTTAAGATTTTATTTATTTATTTGACACAGAGAGAGATCACAAGTAGACAGGCAGGCAGAGGAGGTGGGAGAAGCAGGCTCCCCATTGAGCAGGGAGCCCGATGTGGGACTCCATCGCAGGACACCAGAATCACGACCTGAACTGAAGGCAGATGCTTAACTGACTGAGCCACCCAAGCGCCCCAACTTCTTACTTTTTAATATATCTTTTCCTGAGGTAGAAATTGTGGACTCCTAGTAAAATTTATATACAACTTCCTACTCACTACTTACAGAGACAAGCATATCAAAAAGTGTGTCGGGGGTCAGCACACTTTTTCTAGAAAGGGTCAGGGTCAGATAGTAAATATTATCTGCTTTACAGGCCATACAGTCTCGGCTACAATCTACCCCCTCACCCCTGTCACTGGAGTACAAATACGATCATAGGTAATACATAAATTAATGATCATAGCTATGTTCCAATAAAACTTCATTTATAAAAGCAGGTGGCAGGCTGGATTTGGCTCACAGGCTGTGGTTTGCCAGCCCCTGAGAAAGTGAATAAGCTGGATCTTAAACATCGAGTTGGGGGAAGGGTGCTAATCAGTTAACATCAGGGGTTGCTTCTTTTTCCTCAGTGCAGGCTTACAGCCTCTCTTTCAGAAAAAAGTACAGCAAATTCAGTTCGCCTTGATTAAGAATGATGGTGACAGAGGGGGAGACGAACCATGAGAGATGATGGACTCTGAAAAACAAACTGAGGGTTCTAGAGGGGAGGGGGGAGGGGGATGGGTTATCCTGGTGATGGGTATTGAGGAGGGCACGTTCTGCATGGAGCACTGGGTGTTATGAACAAACAATGAATCATGGAACACTGCACCAAAAACTAATGATGTAATATATGGTGATTAACATAACAATAAAAAAATTAAAAAAAAAAGAATGATGGTGACATTTTCTCAATGACTTGCTTCAGCAAGAAGGATCAAGTCTTACGGTGGACTCAGTGTCAGGGTCTCAGACCCACCTGGGACCTTTTCTTGAAGAGCCCCCTATAACTGTCCCTGATCGATGCCTGGGAAATGACAAGAGTTTTTCCAAAAAATATTACAGGACATGCTTACATCATAGAATACAGACCACTGCGTACTTTGCCACAGAGAGAGCTGTGATCACAGCACTTGAATTGCAGACGCTAGGGCTCCGAACCCAAGGCGTTCTCTAAGACATCATGACTGCAGTGCACACAAAGGTTGATGGGATAAATTTACTGCCAAGAAACCAGCATTTCACTTTGCAGGTGTTAGATGCTAGTAAGATGTTACATTAGCAAGTTTTTGGTAAAAATTTCACTTGTAGCTACAGGAATTAATTTTATAGTCACTTTGTTCAGGTCAGCTGCATGCGACTTTTGGTAGACAACTACCTTTTTGTTGACTTGTGTCTTTGTCTGTTTATGCTGCTATAACAAAAATACCACAAACCAGGTGGCTTGTAAACATGGAACATTTATTTCTCACAGGTCCATAGTCTGAGAAATCCAAGATCATGGCACCGGCAGATCTGGTGTCTGGTGAGGGCCCGGTTCCTAGTTCATAGATGCCTTTTTGCTCTGACCTCATGTGGTAGGAAAGCAGGAGCTTTTTTTCTCTGGCCTCTTTTATGAGGGCATTTATCCCATTCATGAGGGCTCCACCTTGATGATCTGATCAATCTGATCACCTCCCAGAGGCCCCACCTCCTCATACCATCGCCTTGGGGGATAGGTTTTCCCATGAGTTTTGGGGGGACACAAACATTCAATCTATAGCAACTTGAACATTTTTGACTTGGGCATTTCTAAATTAAAGGACTAGAACATCATTCATGATCTTCTGATGTGTGTTTTCTTCTTGCAAAAATTCACTGGCCGCAAAAACTGCCCGTGGAGTAAGGAGGGCACAGATGCTAGAAGGGTGCTCATGCCTTTCTCTTGCTGCAGGCCCCAGAAGATAGGGATGGCTTCCTTGTAGCTTCCTGGCCCTCCACAGCAAGCAGGGGTCCGAGGCTGAAGGACAAAATAATGTGTTGGGACTGAAGTTCCTTTAAACAGGAAAGACCTTTTCATTTTATTTTCTGTCTGATTCTGGAAAAAATTTAGGTTCATTGTAGACAATTTGGAGAGTACATTTGAAGAAGAAAATAATCTTCCAGAATCCCCCACCAAGAAAACACCACCATGGGGCGCCTGGGGGGCTCAGTCGGTTAAGCGTCTGCCTTTGGCTCAGGTCATGATCCCGGGGTCCCTGGGATCGAGCCCCGCATCGGGCTCCCTGCTCAGCGGGAAGCCTGCTTCTCCCTCTGCCCCTGCTGCTGTCCCTCATGTTCGCGCGCGCTCTCTCTCTCTCACGTGAATAAATAAAGTCTTGAAAGGAAACATCACCATTACTACTTTGGTACCTTTATTTTTATTTATTTATTTATTTTTTGGTGCCTTTAATCAAAGGAAATGAATATTTTTCTAATGTGTGAATGGATGTATGGAAGAACAGGCCGTGTGTGTGTGTGTGTGTGTGTGTGTGTGTGTGTGTGTGTGTGTAACCTACATTTATATGTCTATTTACATTTGGGGCCATTAAAATTTCTTTGAAACTATTTCCAGTTGCTCCTTATTTTACCCAGTGGATACATCATTGTTTAATCCCTTTTTCTCCTGTTGAACATTTGGGTTATTTGTAATTAGTCACTTTCATTTAGTACCTCCAAGGTGATCTTCCTGTCCATATTGTAAGCACACTTGAAAGAAACAATCCAGGACCAACCTGTCTTTCTCTCAACAGCCTTTGGTTTCCAAACAAGTGGACACATTTTACATTACTGTATGCCCCATTTGTCTGGCATCGCTTCCCCTAACATTCCGACAATGTGACGCACGGGGGAACATTCTGAGTCTGTACACTCTTAGAATAGTACATTTCAAAACTGAGCTTCACCCAGATTTGAAATATCAAAGATGAAATGGCAGCGGGTGGCTTTCCTTCCGTCCTCGAGCCCTCTGTTTCTATAGTAGTAACAATTTCTCGGGCCTCAATTTGGGGTCCTCTTTAGTTAGGTTTTGTTGTTATGTTCTTCAGAAGTGTTCAAACACCAAACATATATAAACAATTTCCTCAATGACACAGTAAACAGTACAGCCACTTTAAAATTTAAATATTTTCCCCTAAATCAGCCTAAAACGCAGCTATGGGTACATCTCTTACACTTCCCCAATTGCTCATCCCCCCGCTTCAGGAAGACTGCCTCTTGGTTACCCCACACCCGGATTAGGCTGCCTTCCCCTTTTAAACGGGGACTATTTTGTGTTTCCATGTCCCTCTTGCTCTTTCACTGCTATCTGTTGAGAGTGGGTAGACAGATGATTTGTCTTTTCATTCACAGTTTCCAGGAGCTGTTGACACAAGGTCTGGTGTGGATCCTGAGAGCCTGGCCATAATGTCTGATGCAATGATTGGATGAGACTTTTGGGATGCCTTTGGGAGAAGGCTGAGTGTATGTTATGGGCAGCCAGGAAGGAAATGAATATTTATGATCCAGTAAGCAGATTGGATGACTGTTTCCAAGTCTTCACACACTTTGTCATCTGACTTTATAGTACCTTCTAGCAGAGTGGGCGCAGTGCATTTCTCCACCAACACTGAGTGTGGCTGCGTGACTTGTCCGTGGGTTTTGAGTGGACATGATATATGCCACATCTGAGCAGCGGTTTTAAGAGCTCTCACGTAGGTCAGCCATTGCTCTTGACCTCTGCCATGAGTTTGAGATGTGGTTGCTCCTTCAACGTGGGCCCTGGGATAGTGAAGACACATCAACTAGACTTGTAACATGAGTGAGAAACAAACATTTATTGTTATAAGTCACTGAGATTTGGGGATCACTGGTTATTGTAGCATAACCTAGCGAAAGCTGACTAGTATATTGTGAAGGAGGAAAAAAAGCAAAGCAAGTTGCAGGATAGTGTGCTCGGTTTTTAGAGGTTTGACTCTATTTCTTGGTGTAGATTTCTTCAGTTTATCCTATTTGGGGTTTTCCCAGTTTCTTGAATCTACAGGTTTGTCTTTTGCCAAATTTGGGAAGTTTTCAGCCATTATTTCTTTGAGTATCTTTTCAGCCATACCCTCTTTCTCCACTTCCTCCTCTCTGTCCAGGACTCCAGTGTCACAATGTTAGATCTTTTTTTATAGTCCCATAAGTCCCTGAGGCTCTGTTCATTTCTTTTTTCAGCCTGTTTTCTCTCTCTTACTCAGACTAATTTCTGTTGTTCTATCTCAAGTTCATTGACTCTTCCCACTGTCCCCTCCATTCTGCTG